TTCCAAAATGTCGATGCCAGATTGGCCATGCTGGTCAGCGTGTCTGGATGGACTGCTCCGAGCTTCATCTTGCGAGTCTCCATCACCTGCACTTCTAACTCTTCTGCAGCGTCCCACTTCCCTCCAATTTTGTAGGCGCTCGCCACCATCGCTCTACCCCATATCGTGTCTTCGTGATCTCGCCCCAAGACCTTCTTTCGTGCCTTTAATGACTGTGTTGCTAGCACCTCTGCTTCACCTGCGCTTCCTTTGCGCTCCGCATACCATGCTGCGCGATACAACAACGTAGCCCACTGCAGCAGTGAAGATGCCCCTTCTGGCTTATGACCAGTCGCCGCCTTAGCGTGCGCGAATAGCGCCTGACACGCTATCCAATTCTCATACTCTCCCGTAGGGAACGCCTCGCAAAGGTTGTTAATAAACTGGTCTTTGTAGCGTTCCAATCTTCCGTTCGCCGCAAGCCACGTACGCATTGATAGCTGCACTAGCGCGTGCATCTCAAAGGTTGTGCCGTTAGTGCTAATAGAGATGAAGTAGAAGTTGCGCAGGGCTGCAACGTCTTCAAAAAATTCATCGTCTTCGGAGACGTTGTCCTCAAAATCGGTATCAACGTCATCGTCATCGAAGTCCTCGTCCTCAAAGTCATCTATAGAGTCGTTCCAGGATTGATTTTCTACGTTGCTATTAGTGCACTCAAACTGCACCCTATTTTCATTCTCGCTGCGATCTGCCTTAGCTGTATTGACTTTGCGATTGTGTTTGTTCTCTTTGTGCTTGGCTTGCGCCTGTAGCACATTTTTGGGAATCCCCTGGCGGTCGAAGAAGCTCATCAACGCTAGCAGGTCTGCTGCCGACGGCCGTGTCTGCTGTATGTACTCGAACGAGATCTGCCACGTCGTGATGATCGAGTTCTTCGCCTCCCGATCGCGTCGCATATGATCTTTGTCGTACCTGAGAAGGCTTGTCCGCTTGCGCTCGCTCTTCCTAAATTGATCAAGGTACTGCGCTACAGAGCACAGTGGCGCTCTCTGCGAAATATATGCAGCAGCTTGAACTAAGGCAAGCGGCATGTGCTCAAGTACTATAGCGAGCTCGGTGAGCTCAGCGGCGTTACTGCTAGCTGCTTGCACTCCAAGCTTCTTTGTGAGTAGAGTCTGCGCCTGCAGTGCACTCATCGGATTGAGCGCGATAATATCGCGCTGTTCTACTAGCTGCAGAGCGGCTTCTTTATTCCGCGTTGTAATAATAACACATCCGTGTGTGCAGTAGGGAAGGTATTCATACAATGGCTTGGCTGTTATCTTCGAAGTAGTAGCTTGGGCGTCCAACAGAAAACTGGCATCGTCAACATTATCTAACACGAGTAGCCACCGCTCGTTAGTGTCGCACATCCAGTCGTGCACCAGTTTGAAAATGTTAACCTGTGGATCTCGTCGCCCTTCGATCTTGACACGGTCGGCGATGTCGTGGAAGCTCTGCTCGAGCCGGGCGGTGCTGCTAGCATGCGCCCATAATACCCACATCCCTGGCGATGTCTCATGCGTGCGGTAGCAGTGCTCTATGGCAAGCTGCGACTTGCTATTCCCTTGTTAGACGAGGTGCGACTGCCGACCCAAGGAACTGCCCAAAAACCTACCCCACACCTCCTACACCAACCAGCGCCAACCGGGACGCTGGCGCAGAGCATTGTTCTTTCAGCTTGTCGAGCAGCGTACCGCGATCAACAAAGTCAGGGTCGCGACGGAAAGGAATCGCAAGGGATAGGTGAGTTTGGAATCGTTCTGCGAAAGACTCATCAGCTATCTGTAGCCACACATAGCTGTTAGTGCCCACTTACGCGTGTTGTGACTGCCGCTACTTGTCTGCTCAGTCATCAATTCTTGTTGCTGTTCCCGAATCTCCTTTCTAAGCCGCCTCATTGCATGCTCTTCTCCTTCTCCACGTATCACTGGTAGGAACACCCCAAAAATGCCAAGTAAACAGTACGCTCGATCTTCCTTCACAGTTGTCATGCACGAAGCCACCCAGCTCATACGCTCCTTAACGCTAAACTCGGCGAGGTTCTGCCCTCTCAAAGCGTCGATAGGTATCCTAGTAATATCGTGTATTTGTTGTTCTAGGGTTATCTTGCTACCCAGACGCTTACCCTCCCTGGAAAAGAATTCAACACTGCCCGGTGCTATAAGCTCTTGTAACGTCCATCCACGTGTGAACCATCGGCTGCGGCGAAAGGCGTCTGCCCATGTTATTGGAAAGGCTGCGGGATCGTGATCGCCTACAGAAACATCCGACAGGTATACATAACATTTAGATGAGCGCTGGTACCATCTAAACATGTAGTTAATCGCCGTATCTAACTCGCTGATGTTTGTTTTGTCGATGCAGCAGGTGTCGACCCAGAAATACTGCAGCCTATCTGCCTCGGCTCGTTCACCACAGAAACAGATTTTCTCGAACCCCTTCTTGTCCCTGCCTGCACCAGCAATGAGCTCCTGATATGAGACTTCTTGACCTTCCCTCCAGGTATGCGAAAGGATGGCGTACGGGGGCGGATCGTCATGGTCGAAGTAGGTCAGCTCGTAGGTGCCGCTTGACAGGCGCTGGAGCAGACGCATCGCGGCAGACGCATGCTCTGTAGACGTGAGGGCCGTTGGCAAACGCTGGCTGCGGTGTAGGAGACGGATGCAGGTGCATGGCTTCTTTCGAATGATCAGGCTGAGCGCTTGGGGCTGTGAGCCAGCTCCGCATAACTGCAGCCTCGCGCTTCGATCCCCGCTTCGGCTATATGGTCACGTGGTGTATCAAGGAGCAGGGGCCAGATCGTCTTGGCGGAGAGGTCAGATTGCCCACGTTAATTCATGGAGCTCATATTAATACATGCGTGCCACTGGGCTTTATAAGAAACCTCCGCAGTCCTCTCCACTGAAGTCCGTCATCCGATCGCCTGCACTTCTGCAGCTCTCGCAGCCTCTTTTGTGGCAATCTCACAGTTTTACTCGCCACCCTCGCTGTCGCTTCCTCTGGCTCGTGCCTCACTCTCTTGTACTTTCTTTGACCATTGGCACTGTCCATGATATCTTGAGCTGTGACTACGCGTGAGGCTTCTGCTGACTCCGCTGTTGTCCCTAAAGGCTCCTCTATTGTTGTCGCAGAGCGCTTTGGCTTACGACCGCGTTTTTGCTTGCCTTTAGCTTCTATAGCAGCCTCCTGCTCAGCTCGCTTCGCTCGTGCGATTTCGATATCCTCCCATGTCATGACCCTGCTTCTGCCAACTATGTTTGACTTCTCTTTTCGTCGAGTCTTGGCTTCGTTGTTCATAGTACCTCATGCGACGGGGATGCTTCGGTTGCTTCGTTAAGGGCGGATAAGGGAGCCAAAGGCTTCGCCAGAGTCCTCAAAACTCTGTCTGGGTTGAAGGGGAATAGACCAGCCTTGGCCCACCCTGCAAGAATGTTCTTCTTGCTCATAGCTGTCTCCCTGGCAGGACTATACAAAGAGGTAAAGTGCTCCTTAAGGACTACAGTCACTCCACTTCAGTACAGTCGTTCTACTTGGTCGTGGTAGGCAGTCTTTAGTGGCCCAAACACCGCAATGTCGCATGGTTGAGTCTTGTGGGAGGTGTGAGAGGGTAACCGGCATAAGATAATGTTGTTCTCTAGGCAAAACTCTAGGACTTTGAGGGTTTCGTGTGTGCCGAACCCATCGCAGATTAGTACACGTGGCTTGCCATTAGCTCGGGCTTTTGTCTGGAGTTCAAATACTCGTTTCATCCACTCTAGGGTCAGATGGGAGTCGTTATAGCCAGTCTTGGAGAAGGCGTAGACCCATCCAGGCGTAAGGTAGGTCGTCCAGTTACTCCGGTGGGTAGAGGCTGGCCAGATAATCATAGGGCTTAGGGCCTCACCGCTTGCTGATATGCATTCAATAGCAGTCACCATAGTTCGCTTCACGCCAGCGCCTCTATAGTCTCGCCGATCATCCTTACCTAGGAGCACTTTGATAGCGCCGAGCATAGAGAGCATGACGCCTGTCTCGTCCATGTTGTACCAGTTCTCGGGCCTTATATCTAGCTTATTGAGTTCGTCCTTCATTACCTCAAACCATTTAGTAACCATATCGTATATATTATTGTCATGGCGGTTCCAATCCATCAGTCTATTACTCCTGTGTTTGAGTTCTGGATTACGCTTGGTAAATGCCTGAGGGTAGTTCTTGCACGGCGGTTTCGTCGCGGGCGTCGACGCATTCGTTGTGGGCCGCTAGCGGACGATGCTGAAGGCTAGCGAGGGTAGGTACTTAACCCGAACGGGGGTTCCGAGGGCAGCCATTCGTAGGAGGTACTGTACGAGAGTTTTCTCTTCGGGCGGGGTAAGGTATTGCTGGCTTTGGCTTTTGGCCTTTCGTGAGGGCCGTCCATAGTCTCGATGCCACAGCGCCCAACTAACCAAGATGTCCAGGTGCGGCTTAGGCTGTAAGACTGCGGGGCTGACATCCAGCTGCATGTGCTAAACTCGATCCTCCGCTGCGGCAATGAACGGCACCAACGGCTTCAATCACGGCAGCCCTCAGCCGTTGGCCCAGCGAACATGTTCACAATGCAAGTCTAGCAAGAAGAAATGCGACAAAGTGCTGCCGAAGTGCGGTCGCTGCTTGCGGTAGGTGCTCCACGTGTCCTCGCCCGCTTCTACTAACAGCCGCTGATAGACTTTCCATAGACTGTTTGTATCCTGATCTCGAGAAAACGCATGAGTCGGAAACTGGAAATGAAGCCAACGATAGCCGATTCGACGAGGTGTTCGAACGGCTGAGGAGAATCGAAGCTCAAGTGTTTTCACCCCAATCAGCTGCACAGAATGGCACCGATTCACAAAGATCGCTCATTGAGCTTGCGGTATCTCACGGTGTTGAAAGCCCTAATCCTACAAATTGGACGCTCGAACCAGGAACGCTCAAACCACAGTATATGTCCTTGATACTGTGGCAGAGCATACTGGCCACGCTGGATGAACACAAAGCCACCATCCATGGCATAATGCGGGTCTATATTACGCAGACAGACCAATGGCTGCCTATGGTGTCTAATAGAAAGTGGCAGAAAGAACTCGCTTTATTTGGAACACTGCTCTCGTCCGATAGGTTTGTACTGCTGGCTTTGGCAATGCACCTAGTTGTCTCGCCGCCAGCTGATCACCCTCCTGCTGCTTCGCTTGCCGAGTCGCCCTGGTATCGGAAGTGCAAGTATCTTTTCCAATATTATGTGGGGTTCAAGGAGCCAAACATCGAGATGGTGCAAGCTGGGATGCTGATCGCGCTTTTTGAGTTCAATCAAGACATTCAGGATCGAGCTTTAACGACGTTGGGGACATGTGCCCGACTAGCGTACTTGCTCGACTTTGATGAAGTTATGGCAAAGCACGCTGCACGAAACTTGGGTAAGCTGAGTGCAGACGATGAGGAGGCGAGTCCTACGTCCCAACAGATGTTTTGCTCTTGCTCACCATGTGTCCAGATTATACTAACATGGATGGGTATCACCCGACTGGAAAGGTAATCTCGCAACCACTTGCCTCGGTTTCTTGCTAAACCATGTCAGGTATTTCAACATGCCCCCAAAAATCATGCCAAAAGCCCAATGCATGCCCCTTCATTTCGACAACAGCCCCTCATGCGATTGTGCCAGCCCCTACGAAGGGCCATCCGTCTCCAACTTCTCCACCGTAGAAATCGAAAGACTCGCTCGATGTGTCTACGAATACGACGCCGCACAACGCTTGGGGCGCGTGCAGAAATTTATTCGCGACAACCGCTACGTGTCGATGTCGCCGGGACTCACTGAAAAGATACGTGTCATACTGCAGGATCTGGAGGAGTATCTCGACATGAGAAGGGCGCAAATGAAAGAGGACAGCTCGTGGTCGGGGATACATGTTGTGCTGGGGTAACACCACCCTTCTTAAGTTCTCGTGGTCTACTAAGTGCGTTCAGTGCTGCCATACAGATCCAATGCTTCTTCATCGCCGCACAAGGCACCCTTGATCCTGCCACTATGCGCTCCCTGCACTCCTACGTCGATCAACTCCACGACGTCATATCCCGATGTCGCACGTTCCACGGCTTCGAAGAGAACTACCTTGATGGTATTCAACCAACGTGGTGCAGCCTGCCGTATCATGCGATTCGGGCGTCCAGGCTGATTGAGGAAGCGGATACCCAGGGGGACTTACCGTCGATCAATATGACGCTTTTCGTGGAGGTGCTCCAGACCATGGCACTAAAGTATAAGGTTGCTGGTACGTATGCTCGAGTTAGTATTGCTGTTGGAGAGTGCAACACTGACGTGGACACAGAGAGGTGCTTGGAGCTCTTGGAGCTGCCGGAGGCTATGTCTACGTCATAGCGGTATAAGGTCGTCGGCATCACTATTTTCATGCTCCCCGAGGTGTTTGTCTTGCGTCCAGCGGAGCCACAACCATACCCCTTAGAATGGCATGGGATGTGTAGTGAAACTACTTCCGAAAGCACCACAACGCTGCCATACGCCCCTTTCAATTCACCCTGTGAATCCTACTTCAGCGCAAACTCACAAACCAACCTCGTGTCATCACAGACAAGCCCCCTTCACCGCCGCACACCTCATTCTCCGCTCCACCCCTCCAACACCCCATTCCTTAAAATTAGCAACCAATACATCGCACCCTCCACTTACGCGCACACAGCCGCACCCACACTAGTTTTGAAACGGGACCCACCAAATCCACCACCACCACTATTCGTTATCTGTAATTCACGATGTGCACCACCCAGCCCCACACTTGCACCATCTGCCACCGCACAATCAAATACGCGCCCACCCTCTGCGCGGTTGCCGAGACGAAGGAGGGCGGGTTTGTGGCGTGTAAACCTGGTAGTGAGAACAACAAGGAGGACGTTGTAAGGACGACGTGTGCGGGGAAGGGGGGAAATTGTTTGAGGGAGGGTTGGGTCAGCAAGAGGGCAGAGTGGGATAGAGGGGAGAATGTGGGGGATGGGGAAGTTCTTGGATTCAACCGCTGCTGAATAGGCTATCTTGGGACGGTTTCATTCGCATGTTGTGAATCCTTGGATTAGTTCCTGCGTTCGAGGCTGGGTGGAGGTGGCAGGGATGGTCGGGAGTGCTGCATGCATGTATGTACTCGTGGATTCGATGGAGTGCTGGTCTTCGCACTTAGTATTCACTGGGTTCATGTCAAAGAATTGACCGTGGTTTTTTTTTCTTTTGATTTCGTGTCGATATTCGTGTTCCCCGAATGACTGATGTGCACACATCACGTGATGTCAAAAACACAGAGTCGAAGGCCAACACAATAACCATCTTGGCGATACTTCTTCTAGACCGATCCCGAGCCTTGTACCGCACCTGCTCGACACCGGTATAGAATCATCTTCGGAACGGGACGATCAGACGCGTTTCTCGCGCATGGATGACGCACGATCCCCTGACACCGTGCAGCTCAGCTCGCCGCTAGGGCGTTTTCTCCCGCCCGTTTACTTCCACTAGCAAAGCCTAACCTCAACCGCGCGTCCATCCGATCTTCGAATCGGAAACCGCCACGCCCCAGCTGTCCGTTCTAGGTGCTGTGTCTCCCCAGAATAACCCACAAAATGACGACGGTTACTCAACTCGGGCCCATGGCGGGCTATCTGTCGGCACAAATGGTTTTTCTAGTTCCGCTTCCATGCCATAAGAAGGTGCTCCCTGCCCACTTGTGAATCCCCAGTCTGTCGCTTCTTCGTTCTTTAGATCAGTATGCAGTTTTTTACCTCCGCGTTGGCTGTCGCAGCCACATTTTCAGTCGCCGATGCCGCTATCAAGGGCTTCAACTCCGGTAGCACGTTCAGCACCGGCGCAAACAAGCAGCAGGCCGACTTCGCCTATGAGATGAAGGCCGCGCAGCAGCTCCCCGGCACCAATGGTGCCTGGACGAGCGTGCGCCTCTATACCATGATCCAAGGTGGCACCACGGATTCACCCATCTCCGCCATCCCCGCCGCCATCGAGACAAAGTCCACGCTCCTCCTCGGCCTCTGGGCTTCCGAGACTTCCGATGCTTTCCAGAACGAACTCAACGCCTTGAAGAATGCGATCAGCCAGTACGGCACCGCCTTCACGGACCTCGTCACTGGTATCTCCGTCGGCAGCGAGGATCTGTACCGTACCTCTACTGGTGAGGTTGGCGCCACCCCCGAGCAGGTCGTTGATTTCATCTCCAAGACGCGCGCTGTGATCAAGGGCACCTCGCTCGAGGGCAAGCCCGTTGGCCACGTCGACACCTGGGACGCCTTCGTCAACGGTGCGAACAGCGCTGTCGTGTCCGCGTGCGACTTCCTCGGCATGGACGCCTACCCGTACTACCAAGCTTCGACTGTGGGCGGAAACGGCATCGGCAACGCGAACGCCACGTTCTGGAAGGCGTACACCGACACTGTCGGCGCTGCGCAGGGAAAGCCTGTTTGGATTACTGAGACCGGGTGGCCCATCGTCGGTGACACGATTGGTGAGGCCGTTCCCGGCGCGGAGGACGCCCGCACCTTCTGGGAGGAGGCCGTATGTCATGCGCTGGCGACCGATGTCAACATGTACTACTTCCAGCTGCAGACATCGCAGGGAGTGCAGGTGAACCCCGACTGGGGCATCAAGGGTGCTGGCGATATCGTCAACGAGGCTGTGAGGTTCCAGGTTACGTGCTAGGGTGTGTAGACGCGAGTTCATCCCGTCCATACTGTCACACTATGTAGAATAGATGATGTGAGAATAGACTAGATGTACAAATAACATATGACCAACCTAAACAAAGACACTACATATTTCCCATTGCGCGCACATACCTCCTAGCAGACTGACTTACATCACAACCACTACCATAGTGTAGCCCTACTGCTCTGACCTGTCCATCCGGCACTCCCCGTCCCATCTTCTACCTCCTCAGGCGAAACATCCCTCCCGGAACCTCGCGGCCCCCTCCGCCTCCCCGGTATGAACCTTCCCCCCTGTCGCCCCGCGCCCTCACTCGCGCCCGGATGCAAGCTCATTCGGGTGACTCCCGCTCTCCGCGCCGGCGGCGTGTCGTCCAGAGGACCTGGCATATCCGCCCTGACCTCCACCCAATCGCCATTCTCGCCCCAATGCCCGGCCCTCGGCCTCTTCACCGCAGACGTCCAACGTCTCGATGCCGGGCGCCTCGCCTCTGCTCTCGGACGCCGAGGTGGAAGATCGGCCGCCGTTATCGAGCCTGGCTGTGCTCTTTGTCGCGGACGAGGTGGCGCAGTGAAGAGCTCGGACCGACACGCAGGGCATGTGTTTCGCCTGTCGACCCACAGTGAGAGGCATGCTTCGTGGTAAGCGTGTGTGCACGCGCGGATGCGGACTGCGGAGAGCGTGAGTGAGAGGGGGTCGAGGCAGATGGGGCAGGTGGCTTCCGAGGGCGCGGCAGAACAACTTGCTGGGTCCGCTGGGGTGTCTGTGACTACGATGTTGAAGGGGAGGTCGGTCGTGGGAGATGCCGGGGGTGGAGTCGGAGGGGTGTCTGCAGCTACCGGTCCGAAAAGGGGTCCAGAGGTCGCTTCGGTGGCGGGTGGGGACGCTGGGGGAGTGTGTGGAGGTGAAGGGTGGTAGGGCTTGAGGCCGTTGGCGAGGAAGGCGGACTTGTCAGCGTACGGCGCCATAATTTGCGGGCTTTCTAGGGTATTGCTTTGCTTTTTATCCAGAGGATCAGTTAGGTCCAGAAGCAGAAGCAGCAGCACATTGTAGCGGTACTTGGATACGGGAAAACAAAATTGCTTGGAGACGAAGATGTGATGAGAGAGTGTGAAGTGAAGAGTCCTGGACAGGATCTTATGCGTATACGCGCCGTGAACATTGAGTGGAACCAAGTTTTATCGCAGTGCTGTCCCCAACGCCGTACTATGCTTGAATGCGGAGATCGAAAAACCATAAACGCATCAACGTTCGTGGACCACCAGTTAATAATCGACAGCTTTTTCCGTAAGAGTCCATCATCCTCTTTGATCTAGGACTTTTAAGTCTCAGACCACCTCAGAATCGTGATGGATGCTGTGTACACCATGGCAACCAGACCAACAACCATCATCACAATGTCACCCGCCTTCGCAAGGTTACTCTCCGCGACGCCGTGCAAGTGAAGATACGCGGGGTAGATGTACACCAGCGGCACGCATGCGACACTTCCGATAAGCGCGACAAATTTGTCGAGGTTGCTCGCACCGACGACTGCAACCAGACCCGCAAAAAGCACAATGCACGTGCGAAAAACATTCTTCTTCCACTTCGTAAGCGCGTCTTTCTTGCCCGAGCGCTGCCCGAAGATCTTCTGCTCGAGGATACGGATGGCGGGGAAAAGCTGGACAGGCTCGCCGACCATGACTGCGACGGCATACAGAAACTGGATGGCGTTGACCAACTTGCTGGTCTGCGGGAAGTTGGTGATAACCTCTACGCTGACGTTTTCACCAAATGTACCGTAGCAGAGAACGCCGACGGAGGTGAAGATGACAGTGATGATGAGCATCACGATGCCGAGTAGCTTGTTGAAATTCTCCGGGTGCTTCATGCTCGATTGGATGGGCAGGATAAGACCGATGCCTTCGAACGTGAAGATGGCCGAGCCAACCGTGAGCGTGAAGTCCCGCGGGTTGAAGAGCTCGATTGATGGGTGGAAGCCACCCATCTTAGAGATGCTGGAGATGTCGTACCAGTAGATGTACACCAGACCCATGCCAATGAAGAGATCAGCCAAGATAGCCAGAGGACCAAGCTTCGAGATGTTGCGGATGTAGGACATCGGGATAAGTGCAAGGACCTGGATGCCGATAAGTGCATTCGTGGACAGTGGCACGTTGTTCTTGGGCGTAACCGCGGTCAAGAATGACGACAGGTTGTCAGCAGTAAAAATGAGACCAGCGCAAACGAAACAGATCTGTGACAGCATAATGGAAGAGAGGATGATGTTTCGCAGTCGTGGTCCGCCGACAGCTTGGCCAAGCTCTCCGTAACCGCCGCCGTATCTCGCTCGGCATTGGAGTAGGAGCTGGAAGCAGAGCATGGTCACCGCGGCCACAGTGAGAAGCGTAATGGACGAGAAGAGCATGCCACCGTTTTTAAATGCCTTGGGCAAGAACATGATACCAGTTCCAACAAAAGCCTTTAGCAGGGTGAAGAAGGACTTCATGTTGGAAGCGTCGCCTTGGGCTCTGATCCTCTTGGAACTCTTTCTCCTCCCGAGCAACGGGCGGCGTTCGTCCGCTGGTGCATTCTCCTCTTCCTCCTCAATAGCTGATTCATCGTCCGACTCTTCCAGGTCTTCACCGGCGAAGTTTCCGTAAAGCTCAAGGAACGAAATGAAGTTCCTCGTCACGGGTGCGGCAATGTAGCTCACGCTCCTGGCCTGTTTTGCCAGGTATGCTCGTCTGAATCCACCAGGAACAAGCTGCTCAGAGACTGGCACGAATTCATCGTTGTCGGCCTCGGAAGGTGCGAACTCTGCAGGATGAGAAAACGTTGCCGCCCGCTGGTGCAACTTTGCACGTTTAGACTTGGCCTGGATGTGGTAGAGATCCCTATGCATGTCTCCTCCTGGGAGGCGCAACGAAGATTCTACCTCATCGTCGGGATCATGGGGTTTGTTTGTTGCGCTGCTGGGTCCTACGCCATCGAAATCGGCGGTGTAGCTAGGGTCCAGATGCGGTGAGAGAACCTTGCTGTGGTCAACAAGGTCCTGTTCGGATGGCCTGGACGGGATGTCCGCCATTGTGTTTGTCGATTGTGCTGAGGTATCAGTTGCAGCTGAATTTGCAAGGGGGTAGCGTGACGCTGGTGATATGCACGGCGATATGGCCAATGGTAGGTTTCAGGAAGAAAAGTCAATTGTGGTCCGTGACCCTGACATCATCTAGCGTTCAGCGCGATAATCGGATATTCGTACAATCGGAAATGTCACAAGAAAAGTGGGTGAAGCTCGAGCACAGAACGACGAGTGTTGCCAGGCAATGAGGATATTCAGTCAGGTTGTTGCGAGGAAGGAGCCTTGAGGTATGATGCTAGAGTCTTCGAGATCGGCAGGTCCAGGCATTTGTGGGGAGAAGCTAGCTCGATCAGGCAAGACTCAGACACGTGATAGTACCACGTGGATGGATCCGTGACGTCGACTTGATTGGCTGACTGAAACCATGCACGAGGTACCGGCTCTATTAAACCACTTTATTATGTTCTGTAAACAAGCCTTTTGCCCGCATTGAACACGTTTCCCATGGGATCACAATTTTTTATAAGGCTCACATGTAGACTCACAACCATTGCAACGCCTCTTCGCAATGGCACCTCCTGGCTATGTCCCGCCCAGTTATTCTCACAATAACATTCCCGAGCGTTACATGCACAAGAACCCTCCACCTCCAGAAGAAGATACCAATACACGTGCCTACGCTCTATTCTTCTCATATCTTGGACTGTGCTTCTTATTAAGCGTCTTCATCGTTTTCAAGCTCATCAGAAATCACAATGTGCTGTCCAAGTCAACCACTGCCCGCCTTCCAGCAAAAGCTCATATACGAACCTTTGCTACGCTAGCAGCGCTTAGTCTCTTTACGACTTGGTACTACATGTACCATTACTTTCGTGTTTCGTACCAGGCATGGGCTATGTGGCGGTCTCGGTACGATGTTAGTCAAGATACGATGCACTGGGGGCTGTGGTTATCCGAAACCTCGCTGTTCAGAGAGTTTTGGGAGACGATCGTCGTAGGAAATGCACGCTACTGGTGGTCGCACCAGATCTTCTTCTTTGCATCTGGACTGGGGTTGAGTTTGGAGGAACGAGGTATGATTCCAGCGCGCCGCCTCGAAATGCACGCTAACGTCTCAGGAATCCGCCGCGGCATCAAGTATACGTGGGCGTTCATGCTCCTCGGCCAGATCGTCTCAATCAGCTTTGCGACAAATCTGTACCTTCTCACCTTGCTTCTGACTCCGCCACTGCCACCTCCTTCGTCCTCTGCTGGCATCTATCGAAGACAGTGGTTCGGCCCATGGCTGATCAACCTCCTCGCCATCGTCTTTACCATCTGGTCAGCATATCAACTCGCGGACGAGCACTACTGGTACCACCAGACGGAGTTCATGCCAATGCTGTTGACGCCGCATGTCGCACTGCTTGCCATGCCACTGCTTCGCGCGGTCGTCCCTCAAAAGTATCTGTCGGAGTCGAACGTGGAATTCACAGGCACACTCTACAAGTTTCTCTGGGCTGCGAACAACTTTGGTGGTGGTCTCCTGTTCACCAGGGTGACCGCTGTGGCCTATAAATTCAGTGGCCCGCGCGGCATTTGGCAGCAGATGTGGGAGCATCCAGCTGTCAGCAGCGTGGCCTTCGATGTCATCTTGTGTTGGGTCACCTGGAGTGCTTGGTGGGCCACCCAAACGCACACCACCAGCGCTATGCCAGCCATCGGAGAGGACGAGAAAGAAGGCGAAAGTGCGGCCGCTGGGTCAGGGAGGGCTGATGCGCTTCCCGAGACTGGCAGCGCGATGCGCCGGCGGTGAATTGGTGCTGCAGTCGGATAACTGCGAGCGAGTTTGAACGGCGGCGTACGATGGGGCAGGAAGTCGCTCACGGGCGCGATCTGTATTGGCCTAGACGGAGCGATGTTAGTTGCGCAGCAGGAAGTTGTAGACGAGTAGTACCGTTGTAGTGCGTGAGGCTGAAGGTCGATGGTTCCCCGGCATCGCGTTCCGGACGATGTCATCCCGAAGCGCTAACCGGAGGAAGCTAGTTTTTCACTCAGAAAAGAGCGCAAAACACACACCACCTGTTCGCGCTTTGTTCAATCATGTCATTGCTCGGGCACGCCATGCCGTTTGCGACGTTCACAACGTTACCCGGAGTACGCTTGAACTTAGCCACTACTGCTGGAAGAAGTGCAAACTTATCGAACTCCTACATTCGGCGCTTCGTCAGCATACCCATGTGACCCTACCTTGTAGTTCGATACTTTTTGATATTGCATTGCTACCGTATCGACCGTTGTCGACGCCACTTTTTCGTCGCTGACGGTTGCTATCGATATTTGCAACACCGCGTCGACTTGCCCAGAGAGCAAGGACGATGATGGCACAGTATTGAAAGCTTGCAGCGTTCCACAAAGCTTGGGGAGCTACTGCACCGCAATGATCTACATGCCTAGTTGGAGCGGGGTCCGGCCTCTTTGGGTTCGTTTAGGTCCCAAAATCACGAAGAGCCACGGTGCGAGCCACTAGCAAATCAGCATCCAAACGTCATGCAGCGGCCTGATCAGCAGTGAGCTTGTGACCTCCGGCTCAGCGAGGCGCACATAGAGCATCGCGGCGCGGTGAATATATAAAGATATAAAGCCGCCTCTCCAGAAGGACCATCACAGCATTGTAAATAAGTTTTCAATACGTCAATTGCACCATCTCCTTCACTCGCTCAAATACCAGCACTATGAAGCTCATACTTCCCACCATCACTTTGGCTCTTTCCACCCTCACCAGCGCTCAATACGACGTCGAGTCGAAATCCTTCCGTCTTGTCCTCTCCTCAAAGGACACCCAAGTCAACGGCCAGACGCTCTCTGCCTGTCACACCGGCGCAGCAATCGAGTCGCTCTGCCTCTCTGGCACACCCTCAACCTCTAAACCCGACCCCATCGCCGCCGCAACCTTCCGCTTCAACACCTCCTCCAACATCGAAACCCCTGCAGATGGCAACGTCCCCGGCATCCTCACCTACAAGCTGAACGCCTCCCCGCCGATCCCTTCGTCGCTGGAGTTCTTCTACGACCCAACAACCAACTATGCGCTCCCGCTGCTGTTCCCGGGGCAAGACGCCAATACACAGACACTGGCTTTTGACAAGAAGAACTTGCTGAATGTGCAGGGATATGTGAACTACAAGACCAGCCCGCCCACCGCCGGCAACACTACCGCGTACTACAGATGGTACTCTTGCTCAACGTACTTTTCTGGCTATCAGTATGTGAACTTGGTGTGGGCGCTCGGAGATGCGAAGCCGGAGACGCCTGGCTGCGTGAAGGTCGATGTAAAGAGGGTGTTCATCTAGTCGCTGGAAACAGCGAGGTGTGAAAAGTGTCTGGTGTTTCGCAGGACATGGGCCGATTGAAATGTCTCACGCGTAACGAAGTAACCTAGCGATAATATAATAATCGTAATGCTCATCTTAGCACCACCGATTCCGAAGCCCTGCACTGCATTATCTTGATCACGCCAGACCGAGGTTCCAAAAATGGCGGGATCCCTGATGTGGGGCGCATACTGCCACATTTGCGCACTCAAAAGAGCCGCTAACCGTCTCCCAGCATCGTCCTCCCATTTGTAGCATACACTCATGGCGAAAAAAAATTAAAAAGAACAGCCCGACGTGGGGGTCGAACCCACAACCTTGAGATGCCGAGTAATCGAGTTGATTAGACCGTGAATACTTAAGAGTCTCACGCTCTACCGATTGAGCTAGCCGGGCGTTTGCCTGATTTGATGAAAACATTTCCTGCGGTATCGTATATATTCCTGTAATAATGGTCAGATAGTAGGGCTTTGCAATGTGTGCGGACGAATGCTGTCATGTTCTGGAAGCGATGTGGGGTGCAAGTCAAGATTTGCAGGTGTAGAGGGAAAATTTTTCACTAGGCGGCGGGAGGCCACAGTGACTCGAGAATGGAACACACCAAGACTGCATGCTCGAACATATCGCTAACAGAAAAATGTTGAGACATACTAAAAACAGTTCTGTCCATACATCGAACCATATAGTCCATGGATGATTTTCCTTGGTTGTTGACTCGAATGTATGACAAGTAAAACGGTAGACAAAATGGACTGCGACTGTCGCACAGTTCACGGATACTCTCAGCACAGCTCTATGTTGATGGTCGTTTGCAGAGCAACTGTGTCCAAATCTGCGGCAGATTTTGAAACCCCCCATCAATGCAATAGCATAGCGTATGTTATGAAATCTATCTCAACGTCTTATTCATGTGCAATCTTCTGAATGACGGTAGGGTGCATTACTAGGTATAAGCGGAATTCTCTAGCAACGTACTTCTCGTTTTAACAGTCTCTTGACAGACAGACGTCAAAGTGGCTTGGGTCCAAAGCCAAGATGTATATCAAATGGAACGGGTGCAATTACAGAGGTTCTTACGCTGAGTAGAAGTCCATTTATATTACGAGGCGACCGGTAGCGAGGTATGTGCATTGATGCGGACGCGCTATAGCACTGACCAATACGCATTTCTGAAATTCAGATCCTAAAGTGCTGCATATAGCTGATGTCTTTTACTGTCACTTTTGAGAATGGATACTGGGACGAACCGTAGTAGGTGCGGGAAGGCTAAGTTCCAGTGCTTTCATAATTCCTCGTGATAATCTCAATTGAATGGCCTAAACCGTTTTCATATGATTTAGTTGCAGAAATGACGCATATCCACTAATGTCCGCATCGGGATATACGACACGACTTTGCCAGAGGGCTAGAGCTGGCCACTGTTCCGGCCGACATCAAACCTTACCAAGCCATTCTATCTGTTTTCGGATTTCGTATACATAACCAACACGCCCAGATGCCAGACTTGTCTGCTCCTTCGTTACTTGATCCTTTCAGCTCTAATCTTAGAATTCTTTGTGCCTCTGTGTTGTAGCAGATGGAACACTCTTCTGGCTGCCGTACGGCAGCGCACCTCCCTCCAGGCTGCAGCTTGAGAGGATTAGTGTTCAATTTCAGATCGTCAGTCCCTCTGAGGAATGGTATCTCCATGGGCTCGAGACGATGGTAGAATCGGCGGATACGGTATTTTGCCTAGCGACTATCCGCCGCTCGAGCAAAACCTACAGGACAGGGATGCCGAGGAAGGCGCAAGACTTGAAGACTTATCTTACAAAGATCACTCCATAACATAAATTCGCGTAGTCGCCGACAATGATATGATTAGTCCGTTCCTCGAAGCGTTCGCAGAAGCTTCAAGATGCATGCCGTCGCCGAAAGAAGTAGCGCTTTGATGTCCACCAATGCTTTATTTTGATACCGAGGACGTGAGTAGAACTACGAATTATATTGGAGGGAGCTGGAAAGAGCGGGGATGTATTCCGAACGGACTGCATGTAAAATGACTGATTTGCTCGATAATAAATGGCCGCTTCATTACGGCGATCCAGACAGAACGTGGGGTATTGCTTACGCAAAACCCGGCGGGCAAAGGCTAGCTATACAATAGGAAGGAAATAATAGTACGTGTAAACAGCTTTGGTAGATGACAGGCCGTAAATGGTTGCCGTCTCCATATCTACGCAACCTTTTCCGTGGTATTAGGAATACACAGTACGGGCAGAGGTACAAGTGCACTCGTATTACAATCTCGTCAAATGATCTATGTTTGAACAGTATATAAGTCGACTCTACCCAGAGTTTCATGACGTATGGCTTGGCTCTGGTACCTATGAACTCGAGCAAATAGAGGAAATTGGAGAGGACTACGCGTTCTACCATAGGTAGGTGCTGATCTTGCAAACGTAATCGGGGGTCTTTTCGGATGCTAAACCATATGTGTGTGTGTGTGTGTGTGTGTGTGTGTGTGTGTGTGTGTGTGTGTGTGTGTGTGTGTGTGTGTGTGTGTGTG